ACTTGTAAAATGCAGTGGTGATACAGATGGAAGAGTACCTGCAACTTCTTCAAAGAGATCTATAAAGGCAATGGAACTTACAATAGACAAACCTTAGCGCTCTTGGTTGTATGGAGGAGAGGTAACAACAACAACAACACAGTATATTCTCACTTAATGGGGTCTTTAAGTGGGGTCTGGGGAGGGTAGTGGTTACGCTTGGTTGAGAGTGGAAGTTGTTTACCATCAGAGCAACCCCTCTTGTCAAATTAAAACAGCTTAAACATTCTATTTTAAAGTAACAATTAGTGAAAATTAATAATTTCATTTGGATATTGTAGGTTGGAGGATACATAGAAACATATAAAGGAGGTCTAACATTTGCATTAGTAAGAGGAGCAGGACATGAAGTTCCAAGTTACCAACCTGCTAGAGCCCTTTCTCTTATTTCTCACTTCCTTTCTGGTACAACACCTCCAGGAATGCTTAAATTAGTTATCAAGCAGCTAATCCTTTTGTGTAATTAATTATGATATTATTAATCATTTCATGAGCTTGCTTAGCCAAATTATGATATTTAAAAGCTCTATGATGTTAGATAATCATGAAAGAAGTAGATTTCCAACATGAATATGCAGTCTCTCCTTTATAGTTGTTGGTTGCCAACATTGGATGGGGAGTAGACACTATAAATATTAAATTTAGAATTCAGTCATTCAGAAAAGTTTAAATCCTAGCTCCGTCTCTGATTAAATGTAACAATTTGCTCTCATTATTGACACACATTAACGGGGTAGGGTAAATTCTCGGAAATATGCTAAACGGGGTAAGGCAAGGCAAGTTAAATCTTTAGCTGAGTTAAGGCTTAGTTAAATCTTTAGCGAGTTAAGGCTTACCCTGCCATGCCTCCTACCACCCCATTTACATCCATAACAATGGCGAAGCTAGGGGGCTGATAGGGTTCATTCGAACCCCCTTCGCCAAAAAATGGGGCGGGTGGACACAAGGAAAAGAGTCACAAGTAGGAAAGTAACAAGAATTGGTCTTGAAAAAAAACCAAACAATATATTCAACACTGATAATATCAACTTTTGCAGGACAAGTGAAACTTCTTCAATTCTGAAGCAACCTCAAACAGGTCCTAAAAGACAAATAATCTTAATACTAAAAGAATGTATTCAACACTCCAACATGAGAAACTTCTCCTTTTTTTGCCCTTTTTTTTCCAACTAACCAAGGATCAGAATTTGTCTAGATAATCTAACATATTATAAATGAGCGCCAAATGATTCTGGCCAAAGAATGAAGATCATTGAACCTAATATCCTACTAGAACAAACCTTAGACCTTGTAGTGAAAGAGAAAAGAATCTATCTGGTTAAATTAAGCTTGAAAATGAAGATGTGAACGCGTAAGGAATGTTTGCAAGTGGACCCCTTTGGCATGCGAGCTCGTGAATGTCCTTCACAATGTCAAAAACTGCATCAGGTTGTGCGAGTTTTAGTGCATTCTCTGACATTGTTTTGAGGTCATCGCTCTTAGTGCTGAACCACTCTGCAACAATTCGGGCTGTTTCCTTAGGACTTCGTGTGAAAACACCGGCTCCATTGTCCACCACGTATGGAACATTTCCCTTTTCCTGCAAATACACAACAAAAAAATAATCAGTAAATTAAACAATGTCATATCAGCAACCGCTATGATAGCTATAGCAGTCTATAAATCAACTTCTTGATTTCACTAACTTGTCCAGGAATGTAGTCGTTGAGAATAATCGGAAGCCCTCTGATTAATGCTTCAGCAATTGTACCAGGTCCAGCCTACAAGCGAAAATAACTGAATTTTAGTCCCGCTACATGGGCAATGCACGAAAAAGATCACACAGGAAATGCTAAAAGAGGATTGCATCGAACGTACCTTTGTGATAATACAGTCACACGCACCCATCCATTTCTCCATCTGCTTCTGAAATCCTTTAATCTAGACAGCAAGAAGAAAAAAGTATCAAATATTTTTGCATTGTTAAGTAAACATGAGGTGTAATATAGTTTTCGAAAGGGCATTCATACTCCAAGAATCTAATTCTTTTTACCTTGACCGGGATGTTCCATTCATGTGATTGTAATGTGGATGCTAACTCTTCATTACGTCCACATATGACAACCATTTGACCAATAGGTTTCTCCATTTCTTTGTCGAAAAGAGCTTCTCCGAGAGCCTTTGCAGTTTTTTTCACGGGTCCCATCCCTTCACCCCCACCCATCAGCAACACTGCTGGCAACGTAGGATCCATCTCAAGCTCTACTCTGAGGTCATCCTATAGCAAGTATTAAGAAAACAATCAGAAGGAATGAAATGTAGATTCAAAGAAGTGTAACTCTTTTGTAAATCGACAGAAAATTTCACCTTGGAAAGAACTGCCCTACAAAAAGAGGGACGAATAGGCAACCCAAAAACACGTATTTGAGATTCTTCCAATCCATCTAGTAACGCCCTCTTTGCAACCTCATCAGCGGGGCAATACAATCGGTTGACTCCAGGGTGAAACCTATCCTTAAAAAGAGTTTATCAGTTAGACCGACATATATGACATGAAAGTAGTGCTAGATGAATTGAAACTCCAAATTAAGTTACTCAATAATTTACCATGTACGGTGGCAAGTACTGAGATCTGTAATAACTGTGACAAAGATTACTTTCTTTTGTAGACCTTGCCATTTAAGAACCCACAAAGGAATATGTTGCATAAGAGGATGAACACTAATGATAATGTCGGGCTTGTACTCCATTAGGCCAGCTTCAACCTCCCTTTAATTTCACAAAGCAACAATTAGTAAATCTCGTTAATAGCAAGATACCAACTAGAAACTTAGTAAATGAATTGAAGATTCATCCAAATTTTGACGAATACTAAATTGATCCAATATCTTTGCATAACATTTAAAAGTTCCAACTTCATCATTTACCATTGAAAGTATCATAAATCTACAGCTTTAGACAACGTGAAGAGGTAAAACCAAAGAAGGAACTATACTTGGCATAGAAGGCGGCAATGGCAGCAAGATAAGCAGAGTGTATCCACCGAGGGGACGTGCTGTGAAATGCAACCCTCCAAAGCTGCACATGTTTGACCATGAACTTATATTGTTGTTCCATGCTGTTCAATGGCCAGCCTGTGTATTCCTTCCAAACATCCTTTACAAATATCTGTTAAGAATAAAACACATCAAGACAACACTAAATTGAAATATTAAGTTTCGGTAGGTCCATACAACAAGGACAATAGGCATGTTACATTGTCACTCCATGGAACAAAACCCCAAGAACTGAATTGTTAAAGATTTTATGCCTGAAAAGTAGTTAAGCTAAAGCGAGCTAGAGGATAAAAGGAGACTAGAGGAAGAAGGACGATAACAATATGGGATCTCAATAAAACATGAGAATTATATAGATCAAAGCAACAAGAACAGAACCTTTCCAGGGTAAGGTATGCGTACACACTACTCTCCCCAGACCCCACTTGTGGGATTAAATTGGGTTTTTTGTTGTTGTTGTTGTTAAAGCAACAAGAACAGAGATTTAGGTCGATTTTAAAGAAACTAGTTAAAAGGATATACTCAAATTAGAAATCAACCCTATATTGTACATAACATCCTTTAACTTTCAAGAGCTAATTAAAGCTGCAAAAAACAACATTTGGCATTTATCAAGGAAAATTCAACTCCTCAAAGTTAAACATCAATTTTTAAATTTGAGAATAATGACAAATGACTCAATAATGCACATAGGACCACACACAATCGAGATGGAGCTTCTAAGCAAAGGCAAAGGCAGGGCGGTGCATGAAGCATCCCGCATTCACGCATGGTCCGGGGAAGGGTCGCACCCTTCGGGGTATGATGTAGGAAGCCTATCCTGATGCATCAGTGGTCGGTTCCACGGCTCGAACCCGTGACCTATCCAAGGCTCCCCTTCTGAGTTTCTAAGCAAGGGAATTAGGGAATTCAAAATTCCAAACAAATAATGCAACTAAAAAGCATAGTATTCCAAATCAAATAGCTATAAAACCAGAAAGAAAAAACTTTACATTATACTCATCCCCAAATTCCAAATGGAAAGCATCGCGAATCGCCTCAGCTGAAGCTCTATGTCCACCTCCTGTATCACTCATCAAAATAAGCACATTTTTGGTCCTTTCAGCACCAATTTGCACCATTTCCATCGTATCATATTCTTCATCTTGAAATTCATTATTGCACCTTTTTGTGCTGCTCCCTACAAACCCATAAACCCCAGCTCTTTCCAATACATTGCTTATTGGATTCCTAGCAGAAATTACCTCCATTACCACCTCCTTTTCTCAATATCAATTCTTGAAATCTCTATATATGCAAATTGGTATAAAGTTCCAATTTTTATTCTTTTTCTTGAAAATGTATATCAAAATTAAACACCAACTCACATAAAGAATTGAAATTCACCACCCCTTTGACCTAAAAATGTTGGTATAAAGTTCAAAATTTTGATTTTTTTTTTTTTGGGAATGTATATCAAAATTAAACACCAACCCAGGTAAAGAAATCAAATTTCCAAGGAAATGATGAATTCACCACCCCTTTGACCTGCCGGAAAATGGGTATTCCGGCAAGATCAAAGAGTTGGTGAAAAAGAAGAGAAAATGGCAATAAAAATGCACAAAGGGTTTATGAAATTTCATGAAAATGGAAGAATTGGACACCCTTTAAAGGGTTCTTTAGAGAATATAAAGTATGGAGAAATGGGGTTGGTTTTTTTCTGTTAATGAAAGGACAGAGAAGAGAGAGATATGGAGAATGGTGCTATTTTTAGATACTCGAATGATGCCATTTGGGACATATTTGGTGGCAGTGTTTAGAGGATTTTATTGGCGTTGGATTCGCATTTTGGGCAGATTCGAAAATTTATTTTAATAAATATTGAACATTTATTTTACCATATTTTTACTGGTCGATAGTATTTTTTTTTTATTCTCTATGTTCCACACATAGTGGCCGTTTGGACATAAGAATTGTAAAATTTTAAAAACAGGGTGAAATTTTTTTTCAAGTGAAAATGATATTTAAAACGGAAAAGACCTAAAAATGACACTTAACTTTCAGAAATGGTCTATTTATATCATCCGTTAAAAAAATGCTCATTTCATGCCACTGCCGTTACACATTTGGCCCATTCATGCTATTATTGACTAACGACTCAATTTTTATTTGGCCCATTTATGCCATTATTGACTAACGGCAGTGGCATGGATGTGCCAAATAAAAATTGAACTGTTAGTCAATAATGGCATGGATGAACCAAATGTGTAACGGCAGTAGCATGAAATGAGCATTTTTTTAACGGATGGCATGGATAGACCATTTCTGAAAGTTGAGTGACATTTTTAGGTCTTTACTCTATTTAAAATTTAGAGTTGTGTTTGGACATGAATATAATTTTGGGTTATTTTTGAAATTTTGTGAGTGATTTGAGTGAACATTTTGAAAAATAGGTTTTTGGAGTTTTTCAAACTTTCGAAATTTTTCAAAATGCATCTACAAGTGAAATTTAAAATTTTTATAAACAAACGTTGATTTAAAAAAAAAAAGTAAATTTTTTTTTGGAAAAAAGGGATTTTTTTTTTATGTCCAAACGGACTCATACTATTTCTACGATCAAGATTGTGGTAAGATATATAGGCTCACTTGCCTCTTAATTAGAAGTATCTGAATCTAGATTAGTCAGATCCCCAAAGGAAGTATCAAATATCGAGTGAAACGGTAAAAAAAAGGCATTATTTTCTTTTAGTGTGTTCCAAAAATAATACATTCTAAATTTAAAAATAATTTAATTTTAAACGTCTCATTTTACCCTTAAATAGAAGTTTCTAAAGCCACACACATGTTATGTAATGTTTAAGATCACAAGTTTCAAAAGTTTTAAAGAAAACGTTATGACATGTTTATCATCACAAATCTTAAAAATCGTTCTTTATATATATATATATAGATTTTATGTCGAGTCAAACCATTCAACATAAATTAGAATGGAGGTAGTACATTTTTGAAGTGGTGTGTAATGGAATTTTAAAAATTAGACATTATCTCCTAAACAATTGTTAAGGCCATGCAAGTTGGTGTCCACCATTTGCTTTGACAAGTGTGTGCATTCATTTTCAATGAATTATTCATAATCTTCCTCTATATATGGTATAGTTTCCATGGGCCATAGCCAAGTTAATTGAGCTGTATTTTTCTAATTTAAGTTTTCTATCTCCTTTTTCTTAAACTATATATTCAATATAAGAAGCAAAAATTGATTAATTTGAAAAAAAAAAGTAAGTATATTTTATATTAGGAAAAAACATGCAGATTTCTGTTGAACAAATTTTAACGTATACTCATCCTATTAACCAGACCTCCTATAACCCCAACTTCTTTTTTACAATAATATAAAGATTTAAAACGTGCACTCAGTATTTTGTATTTTTGCAAATAACGGACAAAAACATGAAAATATAAGAAAGTTCAATATATTGCAGGATGTTGTGTGTGTTTACACACACATGCATACGTACGCTACTTACTTTAAGTTTCAGATTCATATACATTATCGATCTGTCTATTTTATTTAGTGAACACGCAATGAGTTTATCTTAATTCAGTAGCTTTGCCTTAAACTTTATTATATAAGTACAAATAATATATTTAAAACCAAGTAAATTTGATGGGGTGCGGTAGAATTTTGAATCCAAACTCATGAAATCTTTGTTGTCAACCTGTGTTCGAAAATAATTTCTGCAAAAAATAGAATAAAACAGAAGCAGAAACAAAATAAATAAAAGTTTCGAGCCCAACAGAAAACTGTGTTTCCTTAAGGAATGCAGATTCTCGGTGGTGAAAAAGTGAGGTCAAGCCTCTTAATTTAGAGCCAAACTGCCTGGATTGAATAGGTGTGAAGGTACCTGTTCACATGAGATACCATTTCCCGAAGTCGAGCGAACGACGACCAGGGGCAAAGCTACATAGTTGACCACCCTTCGTCGAAAAACTACAATTTATATATAGGTAAAATATTGGATTTTAGAGGTATATAACATATATTGAACATCCTTTATCGGGAATTATTTTTAATTCTTTCAAGTTTGAACATCCTAAATAAAATTCCTGGCTTCGCCACTGGCAAGGGCAACTACGGCGGCGCGAGGCACCACTTCTTCTCAACTCTTTAAGAGCTAGAAGATGTGCTCCTCTATATAAGCACAAAGATTTTCTTTCCATTTTCCGATGAGGAACAAAGTGCATTAGTAAAGGAAATACTTCAAATTTTTCGTTTTCCTCCAAATTTTTTTCCTTCATTTCTTATTCACACCTCTTATCTAATTAGATAAAAACCCAACAATCTTGGATTCGCCTTTGATTATTGCTGGTTAGTAATCAGTTTCTTAAGAGCATGTTATTAAGAATACTCTTTAAACTTTTGGTACTTAACAGTATGTCATAAATCAGTTTTCTAACAGTAGCACTTTATACTCATTGCTACACTAAGTATGGATATAATTCGTATAATCTCTTGATTTACATTTAACATGACCTCAATTCTAAGATTAGAATACATTATAAATATTTACAGAGAAAACACTGAATAGTTTATACATAAGCTAACTAATTCTTGATTCCTCGTCAGCTCCATTCCCTTACAATCACTGTTGTTAAAGGCACGCTTAAGCCCTAAAGCGAGGCGCAAAATACGTTGGGTGCTTGATGACGTTGCTAATTAGTGGGCGCTTCAGTATCATCGTCAATGCTCTAAGACATAATTTTCTTTGTCAATGAACATAATCGTGAGGAGGCGACAATGAACAAGTGATATTTAACTTTGTCGTAATTTTTTTCAATTTCGTTGTCCACATACTTTTATTCATGCTTATAATTAACAATCATGGTCTACATATTCATATTTGCATTGTTTTCTCCCTTTGCTCCTTTTTGCATTAAAACTCACACTTTATTTGTGATTTGGGCTTAAAGCCCCGATGGCCTCAGAGCTTTTTTATACTTTTCGCTTTTGATAACACCGCTTATAATACATCTGGTTTCCAAAATGATGAAGCGTGCATCCACTGCCTTGGACTCGAACTATATATATATATATATATATATAGTAGACTATCACATGTTTTCAAATCCTAGATCCGTATCTGAGATTATCGTTATTCAGGTACAAAAGCGAACCTACTCAATCAGGCCCCAAGACAAATTGGGCAGGGTGGATCTCTTACATCATCATGGTGTGTTCAGTGTTCTTTCTTCCAAACAATCAGCATGGTAAAGATGACTGCAAACTAAAACTGCCACAACAGAGGGCTCGCCTTATGTAGTCGAAAATGTAGGGGTCCAACCTAATATTGAGGTCCAACCTAGCTATTGAACGCCTTATGTAGTTGAAAATGTGCCTATTGAACATGACTTGGTGGCATTACTGTTTAACCAAAAAATAAAATTTTAGTCAAAGCTAGAATTTAGAAGAATACGGGTTATTGATAATCAAAAGAGTGTATAGAAGGACGTAATTTAGGTAACAAAAGAGTAATCAAGAGAGAAACAAGTAAACCAAAGTTTATATCAATAGTATTTCGTGTCCTTACAATTGACCAGATGTCTCCTTTTTATAGATATCTTGGAGATATACGTTTTGTCCAAATCATAATGAGGCTATTATGAGTAATTAAAGACATTTAATGCTATGTTACATAATCATTATATTTAATACAAATTCTCTAACGTATTCCACATTTAATGCCTATTAAATGCTGTATCTGCACTCTTTTCTATTGTCAGATTCATTCCTTTTGATTCTCAGACATAAATGACTTAAATAGGTACGGATGCTGGGTTATTTGTATTCCTGCCCGTGCCTCTTCCTCTGCCATTTGCTCGTATCTATTGCAACTCGTGCCCCTTGGCTAGTTGTAATTCTTTGACCATTTGACCAGTCCACGTGTTTCGACACGTATCCGACACGTCACCTTTATATTTAAATACAATTTTTCCAAATATAGATAGTCCCCCCCACTTTCCATTTATTCATCAGTTTGAATATTTGGGAAGTGGATTTCATTAAAAGAAAATTTTTGTCACCATTAATGCTATGACAAAATTGACGCTTCAATTGTCGCTTCCATTTAATGCTCCGTACACGTGTCTTTTTTTCATTAATTCTGCAGTTTTGCAGCGCTTTTTCAAGGCTTTTTACGGCTCCACTATTCATGAAGTGCCAGTTATCATTATTATGGTCCTTCCATCACTGCACTTTTACCTTTGGCGGTGGCGTTTTAATATAAAT